TGTGTGTGTGTGTGTGTGTGTGTGTCTCTGTGTGATCTGGTTCTATGTTAGAAAAGCAGCCAGATCCTCCGCGCATGCGCACCTTCTAAGATACGATTTGCACAACGGAGCGACATCAAAGATGGCGGGAGCCTCCGACCCACTGGAGGACATGCTCTTCACGGAGGTGGATGAAAAAGCCGTCAGCGACCTGGTCGGTTCGCTCGAGTCTCAGCTGGGCGACAGAAAGACTCCCGCCGCTTCGCTTTCCGATGGGAACCGGGAGGCAGCTCCGGCGGCCGCGGCTCAGTTCTCAGGGAAAGTGCGCGATCAAGTGGGGTCTGCTGAGCCGCAACAAGGGCATCCGAAAGCAGGGTTAACCCAGGAACCCGGCGCCAACGAGCCGCTCTCCGGTCCGAGCCTCTCCTCCTCTACCTCCTCCGTCGCTGCCGGAGCCGTGATCACCACCGGAGCCGGGATGCAAACTGTTGGAGCTGCTCCCCAGACTGCTTCCCCCGGACCGGGACCCGTAACTTTGCCCACTCCGCCCGCCGCCGCTGCTAGCTTCCACCGGGCGGCTGTCCTGGCTCCGAGCGCGGCTCCCAGCTCCTCCACCGTCCCACTGGCGGACGGTTCCCGGAGCGGATCTCCCGCTCTGCTCAGTTTAAACGGAAACGGCGGAGCTGCAAAGTTGGTGAACTCGCCCGCGATCCCGCCACCGGCCGGAGGCAGCACCGTGATCAGTGCTGTCAGTGCCGGGGGGTCCGCGGTCATCGCCCCCATGACTTCTCAGCCCAGTTTCCCGGGACCGGCTCCCACCGTGGTCCTGCAGAGACACCCCGGCCCCGTGGCCAGCGTCACCCAGAACGGGATGGACCCTAAGGTGGTGACCCAGGGTACCCCCCCAGCCTCCAGCTCTCAGGTGATGAACCACAGCACCCCCCTGATGCACACCAAGATGCTGGTGCCCAGTCAGCCAGTGTCCGGAAACACCGTCATCCTGACCAGCACCGCCTCTGCAGTCCAGTCCCCCATCACCCAGACCGGGTCCAGTCCAGCTGCCATCACCCTGACAGGGGTCAAACCTGCCATGAACGGGCTGGCTCAGCCTGCGGTGGCTGTGGTGAGGCCTCCGGGCGGCCCGGTGGTGGCCACCTCCCTCCAGCAGCAGAGACCCGCTATGGTGGCGAGCTCGACCCGGGCAGCTGCCCCTCTGGCTGTCCGGCCCCAGCAGCAGACCACCATCCAGCTCCCCCCCGGCTTCAGCATGCCTGCTGGTGAGAGTGCTGCACCTTCACCTGAGGGTCACATGCTGGTGTCACAGCACATTCAGGTCCCTGTGGAGACAGAAGCTTGTGGTCACTTCCTGTCGAACCTGAAGTCCTCAGTCCTCAAAGGAGGGAAACCAATAAATCAGTCAATCGATAGAGATTTGATGAGAAACTATGATGAGAGAACGTTACAGTGAGAATCCAAACATTGGACATTTTATACACAAATCAATTGATCAGTGAATCAGAATCAATGACTCAGCTGATAGTTTGTTTCACTCAGAGCTTCAGTTCTTATCCAGTGTGACAGGAAGTACATTTCCACCATCACTGACGACGGGGTGGTGATGACAAAGAGCAGCAGCTGGGTTTCTGACCCGTGTCTCCTCTCTCAGGTATGGTTCTGGTGCGGACGGAGACGGGTCAGCTGGTCATGGTCCCTCAGCAGGTCCTGGCTCAAGCTCAGGCCAAGACGCAACAGGCCCAGACGGTGGCCAACATGACCCAGAGACCTGCCCCAACCACGGCTGGGGCCGCCATCAGGGTCAGCACCACCACCACGGTACGTCTGGTACTAACCATAAACCGAATCTTAGGGCAGCACAGGTACTGAGTTCAGTGGCTGCAGGTCTGATAAGTTCTTTATTATAATTCTTATTAAATAACACTGAAGTTCAGACGAGTTCTGTCCTGATGATGCTGAAGAGTTTCACATGTGAAGAAGCAGCAGGAGATTGAGGGTCAGTGTGAAGGTCCACATGTGAAGTTACATATCACAACAACTGAACCCTGCACGTGGGGACATTCAGGCGAGGGGCGGAGCCTGTAGAGCAGCAGGAGGCGGGACATGACCTCTAAACTCTGCTGTGTAAAGATCAGTGTTGTTGTCTACAGCTCGTCCACACGGCGTCGGCCCTCATCACCAAAACATCTGGAACCTCCTTGTCTTTACGTGTACGGCTCCTCTTCTTCATCCTGAGACATTTGTGTTCTTCAGTTTCACGTCCGTTAGTGTTAGAAACCTCAGAGACACGCCCACTCGCTCACTGAGAAGGTTCCGGATGTTCTCCTGCTGTTTTCTCACATGGACTCACTTTGTGTTCTCACATACAGGAACATGTGGACTTCAGTGCAGGTCTGACAGCAGCTTCTGATTGGTCTCCACTGTAAAGTGTTGTTAGATCAGTGGTCGACAAACCGTCGATCTCGATCGACAGTCTTCACCATCGATCTCTGTAACTCTCTGGACTCACAGTCTGTGGTCGCGTAGCAGATCAGCTGTGGGTCGGTTGTCTGTTGTTCACACCCGCTGTGTGTCCGCTACTGGCCTCGGAGCAGCAGGTTTATCTCCTGCATTTCCTTCAATACAAGTTGGATTATGCACTGAACTAAATGTCAGGACTCTACGGTCTGAAGTCCTGCATCTTCTGGTCTGTCGACAACAATCAAAGCCCTGTTAGCACAAACGAATGGACTCAGAAGTGAAACGCTG